ACCGTGGAAAACATCCAATACCATGTTACAACGTTCCTGAGAAGCATTCCTGTCGAGGAGTTTCAGGGTGCCTTTCAGGCGTGGCAAACGGGTCTCCGCAAGTGTATTGATGCAGGAGGAATGTATTTTGAAGAATATTGAACATTTGCACAAATTACGATCAATAAAGTATTTTGCCAGTAAATGCTCATTTCTTTCATAATGGACCCTGTATATGTATATTTATCAATTATTTATATCTATTTATATCTATTATTTATCATTATATATAATCTTATTTATATTTATTCTGTATTTAACCTTATATAATCTTATATGGACTTTGTAATAAATCAGTTTCAATCTCAATCTCTCTCTCTCTCAGTAACTGTATGAAAAAGTGAAAGTTATATAAGCTTATGATTTTGCTTTGTTTTAAAATGAATCGATGTTGGTTCCATATGCTTTAATTGAATATTACACCTTAGTTCTATATATATTTTAATGGTTAAAAACGAACACAACGAAACAAAAAAGAAACTGCAATTACAAAATGATTTGATAACTGAGAAAAAAAACCAATAATATTACAGAAATGATGATGATAAAAATAGAATATGTCTGCCAGAAAAATGCTTCTATGAATTAAAAAATAAGAATAATTACAAAATTAACATATAAACTTCAAACAGTTACAACACCTCTCTTTGCTATATTCCAAATTCTCCACGAATTCCCCCGTAAGAAATCAAAGCCCTGTTCTGGTCTGAAGAAGACCATTAGCCCGAAATCAATCTCCAGGCGGGCGTTCTGATTTCGCCAATGCTGGTGTTGTGGCCTTGTCACCGACCCCAGTCTTGCTAGATTGTGTAGAGACGGTCAATAGACGGCGCACACTTTTATTTGCATCTATTTTGAAGGGAGAGGTAGCCTTTCTATGTATAGTTGAATCTGATACATTAGCGCGCCATCTTTTTTGTTTTTTTTTTATAAGTGCGAACTATTTTAACAAGAATGTTTCTTTTTTCAAATATAGCAACTTTATACTGTCCTCTTTACTGCAATGATGAAATAGTGGGAGGGCCGGGCTCATCAGTGGCAAACCCCCCCAAGCGGTTTTCCACTATATTTGCATAGTTATTTCGACTTGTTACTCTATATTATTCTCGTCTGCAATCTTATTGTACATCGCCATATTTGCATATATTCAAATAGTGTATGTATGGCGATGATGTGAATCAACGAATCGGTTAATAACAAAGTTTGAAAAACATTTTTGTTTAATTCTAAAAAGTTTAAGAGGGTGGTAATATTTGGCAGCCATCTTGTTTCGTTATCTTTAGGAGCAGAGAAGAAATCGAAGTTGATGGAATTGATGTTTCATTTAATTCTTTGTTAATAGATTGCTGCAGTTAAGTACAATAATAAAAAAGTAAGAGCTAAAAAAAAAAGAAAATATTTGTGAAGCAATATTTGCTTTCATTTCAATTTGACACCGGATAATCGTCTGACAAGCAATTAGTTCGTCTGACAAAGTCAAACACTCGTCTGCCTCCTTATATCAGACGACGTTTTTTTTTTTTGGCGGAAAAAAGAGAAGACACAATTACTAGATTTTCATTTTTTAAAAACATAAATAACATTTTTTTAGAAGATAGTTTTGATGGAAATTAATTAAAATTTAATTATTCGTTTTTTTTTTTCAATTTATCTGTATTGACTGGTGACCTGCAGCGAATATGTAATTAAGATTCTCCACGTGCCCTGAATATAGTTTGTTTCTTACCATGTAAAGACATAACACGGATTTTGTCTATGGGAATATTTGGCCAACCGATACTGTCTTGACAAAGTATATTGGTCGTTGAAGGTAGGGACGCATTAATATTTTGAATCATTATTATTTTTGAACCCGAAATATGCAAATTAACCCGTTATTACACCAATTTGCATAATTCCTGAGGTACTAGCGTCCTTGGGTCGGTGACAAAAGCCACAACACCAGTTTTGGCAAACTGAGAAGCGTTCGTTCTCCTGGATAACATGGTTTCAGGCCCTCGTCAGCCTAGGACGGACTTTATTCCATGAGATCCACACGGGATCAAATGGAATCTTCACAATCTTCCAAAGAGGTGTTTAGCTGGTAAAGTGGCTGGGGGCCAAATCTATGGCCAAAATATAGATGGAGATTTTACCGGGAGAAAATTGATCTTTGAAAGGTCGCCTCTCCCGTCAAAATGAATCTCAAACCTAGACACCATATAACATATATGACATAATAAAAATATGATTTTTATTATTCATAATATAATTAAAATTCTAGAACAAAATAATTACATAATATTTATTAAAATTGTTTTCCTAATATAACTGAAATTATAATTTAAATAATCAAATTAAAAATAAGAACTAAACACAGAGTTAATTTTTAAAATGTAAAAGAATGCCAAACAAAAAGAATATAACCTAATTTGCTATTTTTTAAAAATATACATTGTTGATTGTCTTTATATGTAAAACTGTTTGTTTTGAGAAATAATGAAAAATAAATATAATTTGAGAAAAACATAAAAGGTTCTTCTTTTTTTATCCACGACTGCATGAAAGGTAACGTATCTAGAATATACGTTTTTTTTATGACATATATATATATCCATTTTTTTTGTGGGTAAGGGAGAATATTGAGTTTAATCAATCAATAAAAATTAATGTTCATTTTCGTGTGAAAAATCCTTACAAAGGCAGCAAAATTAATCGAAATAACTCAAAGTTAGGAATGGAATTGATATTTACATATTTACATAAAGTTGCATAGTTTCCATTTTCCGCTGGCTTCCAACAGAGTTTGCAAACACATGGATCTTCGGGCTGATAGAATCCCAAGTTTTTTGCAGATTGCATGATGAAATCCAATGGTGATTTTTTAACGATTAGCAACGCTGGCGACTGAATAGCTGCCGCAAAATTTTACAGTACTCGTGCCATATATATATATATATCACAATTTTTATTTAAAAAAAATCCTTAAACGGTCTACAAGCTACACATACGCTAAATTTTACAGCTAAAACACAAGAGCAAATAAAATGAAAAATAAAAACTTTTCATTTTAAAATAATTTCACACAGCCGAATATTTTGAGGTTATCGTCTGCGCGACTCTGCCAGCAATTAGATCGTCTGATATTAAAAGATTACGCGACGCCGATTTGTCAGCGGCTTCCTTCAATCCAATATGGCGTAGAGCAGGGAGAGGGGAGGTTTTAAAATATAACTTTTTCAATATAAAGTTGAGGGAGGGAAAACTGTTGAATTTTTTTTTTTAAACAGACGATAGTTTTGAATTTTGGCGGGAAAAATTTATTTCTTCCTTTTGGGCGCGAATATATTTAATAACGCTCGAGATAAAGGTTATTTACATATTTCTACAAGTTTTAGTACATTTAAAAATATATATTTTACGCTAGTTGAATGACCCGGCTTCATTCGGATTCTGCATGAGTGAATATTTGCCAAACGATAATTGTTTATAGAGCAAAGCTTTATTATTAAATTTATGCTGCGCTGCCTGGAGTATAGGAGCTCCATCTATGATTCCTTTCTTCCTGTGGTGAATCTGTATAAGACCGGTGGTCTTAATAAAGCTTTGTGTGTGTGTGCGCGTGTGTGGTATTATTAAATTTATATTATTATTATTATTATGATAAGCGTAGTAGTAGTAGTAGTAGTAGCAATAGTGATGATAGGAAATCATTAATAAATCTTCGTTATCATCATATTATAACACCAAGAATATGCAAATTAGTTTATCATACTAGGTTATATAGGTTTGATAAGGCACAATTTGGATTATAGATTATAAACACAAGGTAATAAGACCAAATCCAAATGAAAAAAATAGTGTGTGACGTTTCGGTAACAGCGTTGTTACCATCTTCAGACAACTGGTTTCGAACCAGTTGCTTTGAACCCCAATATAGAAATTCCGAAATATGACGGGACAGACGACCCTCGCCCATGGATAGAATCCCTCGAAGAGATTGGTTTCCTGTACCATTGGGCAGACTACATAATTGCCCGTTATGCCGCCATGAACATGACGGGAATGCTAAAACCTGGTTAAATTTGCACAAAGCTAGTTTCACGAGTTGGGAAAATATTTAAATCCGCCTCATTCAGGACTTTTCTATGGACGCGAATAAAGAAGAATTAAGAATGAAGCTTAGCAGAATGCAACACTGGAATGGACCAGCAATCAGGTCTCGGGAGACATCTTAGTGTTGTGCAACAAGGTCGACGACCCTGCAAAGCTGCAACTTGGTGCAACAATTGGATGGGATTTGATTTTGATTTGATTAATGATAGGAAATCATTAATAAATCTTCGTTATCATCATATTATAACACCAAGAATATGCAAATTAGTTTATCATACTAGGTTATATAGGTTTGATAAGGCACAATTTGGATTATAGATTATAAACACAAGGTAATAAGACCAAATCCAAATAAAAAAAATAGTGTGTGAGGTTTCGGTAACAGCGTTGTTACCATTTTCAGACAACCGGTTTCAGTACTTTTGTCTGAAGATGGTAACAACGCTGTTACCGAAACGTCACACACTATTTTTTTAATTTGGATTTGGTCTTATTACCTTGTGTTTAGGTTATATAGGCTTTGAATAGCGGAACATTTCAATCTATATAACCAGCTACCTACATTTTAAATTTCAGTAGTTAGTCAGAGTTATTCAGTAGTTTTGCGGAAGAAGAGCTTCCTTCTGTGTTAAATGGAAATCTTAATGAAAAAAATATATCAACGTCAAAGAGCGACCTCTCGAATGAATGTAAAATGACTCGTCATTTAAATACATAGATGACGTGATATATGTAAAAATACGGGCGGTACATATATAAATATATATAGTCACGACCGTCTTTCCTCATCGGCCGGCCGCCTCTGTCACGGATGCGCGCGCACAGGAAGGTCACGTGCTCGCCGGCAGCCAATAAAAAAAAAAAACTCCCTCAAGCCGGATTTGAACCAGCGACCTAACCAGCGCCGCTCTGCCAACTGAGCTATCGAGGGATACAAACTCTATGAATAAGTTTACCTTATAAAGTCAACTAATCCTATTTCTACACAAAATGTATCAACATATATAGTCACGACCGTCTTTCCTCCTCAATCAATTCCTCAATTCCTCATGTCACGGATGCGCGCGCATCATCATTATGATCATTATCATTATCTAATGATAATAATAATAATAATAATTATTATTATTTTATTTTTATTATATTATTTGACTACATTCTAATGATAATAATAATAATAATAATAATAATAATTATTATTATATTATTATTATTATTATTATATTATTATCCCTATATATAGTCACGACCGTCATGGGCCGGCTGGCCGTCCGGCCGGTTCTGTCACGGATGCGCGCGCATCACCATTATGATCATTATCATTATCTAATGATAATAATAATAATAATAATAATAATTATTATTATTATTATATTATTATTATTATCCATCCACATATATAGTCACGACCGTCATGGGCCGGCCGGCCGGTTCTGTCACGGATTCGCGCGCATCATCATTATGATCATTATCATTATCTAATGATAATAATAATAATAATAATAATAATTATTATTATATTATTATTATTATCCATATATATAGTCACGACCGTCATGGGCCGGTTCTGTCACGGATGCGCGCGCATAGGGAGGTCACGTGCTCGCCGGCAGCCAACGGGCGCGCGCCGCCGGCATTACGTCATAGATTATAAACACAAGGTAATAAGGCCAAATAAAAAATAGTGTGTGATAAGGCACAATTTGGATTATCTACTTATATAATTGCCTTATTCTCTCTGTGTGAAGTTCACTGTGTGAAGTTCACGGATAGATTTTGGTCAGAATGGATAAAATAAAAAAAGTGTCAAGGGATGGGAATCGAACCCACGACCTTCCGCTTACCGGGCAGATGCCATGACCACTAGGCTACCCTGGACATATTTTTCCGTTCACATTTTTATTTTTATATTTTCAAGACACACACAGTTTGGGGCGGGACGTTTCACAAAAGAGACATCCACGGCGCCAATTTATAATTGTTACGAATAGTATTTTAATTAAAACATTTTTAAAATATATACGCACTCGGGTAAAACCCGGGCGTTGCCCGGGCCATTCGTCTAGTCAACATATATAGTCACGACCGTCATGGGCCGGCTGGTTCTGTCACGGATGCGCGCGCATCATCATTATGATCATTATCATTATCTAATAATAATAATAATAATAATAATTATTATTATTATATTATTATTATTATCAACATATATAGTCACGGTTCTGTCACGGATGCGCGCGCACAGGGAGGTCACGTGCTTAGCCGGCAGCCAACGGGCGCGCGCCGCCGGCATTACGTCATAGATTATATGAGATTATAGTAGATTATAAACACAAAGTAATAAGACCAAATCTAATGATAAGGTACAATTTGGATTATAGATTATTCTGATATTTTGTATTTTGATTATTCAATGTATTCTTAAACGTTGTCAATCATGTTTTAAAAAAAGCTTTTATACTACAGAAATTCGGGTAACATCAATAAAGAGGGATTTGAAAAAAATTGAAACTACTATTATTATATCATTCAAATAATATTATATAGGTTTAAAAGTGATAGAGAGATTGAATATACTTTTATTGTGGAAATGGAAATATCTTTATTTGCGGGGCTGCTAACCAAAATGGATGATTTTTGAGCCCCAATGGCCGCGTAAAGCGGAATATATACAAAGCACCAGGCTGGAGAGGCTAGAGACAGGATCTCCGTCAGGGAAGAGGCATCCCTATATATAGTCACGACCGTCATGGGCCGGCCGGTTCTGTCACGGATGCGCGCGCATCATCATTATGATCATTATCATTATCTAGTGATAATAATAATAATAATAATAATAATAATTATTATTATTATTATATTATTATTATTATTCATCCCTATCAACATATCGTCCCTACAACTGCAAACTATCGAATGTGAAAAATTCAATTTTGAAGGAGAGAGAAATGAAGAGACCATGTGGCCTACCCTCCTTCAATGCCTTCCTCTACTGAGGGTAGGCCACATGGTCTCTTCATTTCTCTCTCCTTCAAAATTGAATTTTTCACATTCGATAGTTTGCAGTTGTAGGGACGATATATAGTCTCGACCGTCATGGGCCGGCCGGTCGGTTCTGTCACGGATGCGCGCGCATCATCAATATGATCATTATCATTATCTAATGATAATAATAATAATAATAATAATTATTATTATTATTTAAAATACAATATAACGCGGCTGATGATTGTAAAACGAAAATTAAAATTATACCGCGAATGTTTCTTTTTTTTTTTTTAAATCGAAATTTATTTTCAAAGAGAAATAGCGACATTTCTAACTTTGAGGATGAGGTATGGAAAGGTGAAACATGAAGAGTAATGGAGAACGGAAAAATAAAAAGTGTCCAGGGGCGGGAATCGAACCCACACCCTTCTGCTTACCGGGCAGGTGCCTTGTCCACTCGGCTACCCTGGACGTATTTTTCCGTTCATAACTTATATTTAAAGTAACATTTAAAATACAATATAACGCGGCTGATGATTGTAAAACGAAAATTAAAATTATACCGCGAATGTTTCTTTTTTTTTTTAAATCGAAATTTATTTTCAAAGAGAAATAGCGACATTTCTAACTTTGAGGATGAGGTATGGAAAGGTGAAACATGAAGAGTAATGGAGAACGGAAAAATAAAAAGTGTCCAGGGGCGGGAATCGAACCCACACCCTTCTGCTTACCGGGCAGGTGCCTTGTTCACTCGGCTACCCTGGACGTATTTTTCCGTTCATAACTTATATTTAAAGTAACATTTAAAATACAATATAACGCGGCTGATGATTGTAAAACGAAAATTAAAATTATACCGCGAATGTTTCTTTTTTTTTTTTTAAATCGAAATTTATTTTCAAAGAGAAATAGCGACATTTCTAACTTTGAGGATGAGGTATGGAAAGGTGAAACATGAAGAGTAATGGAGAACGGAAAAATAAAAAGTGTCCAGGGGCGGGAATCGAACCCACACCCTTCTGCTTACCGGGCAGGTGCCTTGTCCACTCGGCTACCCTGGACGTATTTTTCCGTTCATAACTTATATTTAAAGTAACATTTAAAATACAATATAACGCGGCTGATGATTGTAAAACGAAAATTAAAATTATAACGCGAATGTTTCTTTTTTTTTTTAAATCGAAATTTATTTTCAAAGAGAAATAGCTACATTTCTAACTTTGAGGATGAGGTATGGAAAGGTGAAACATGAAGAGTAATGGAGAACGGAAAAATAAAAAGTGTCCAGGGGCGGGAATCGAACCCACACCCTTCTGCTTACCGGGCAGGTGCCTTGTCCACTCGGCTACCCTGGACGTATTTTTCCGTTCATAACTTATATTTAAAGTAACATTTAAAATACAATATAACGCGGCTGATGATTGTAAAACGAAAATTAAAATTATACCGCGAATGTTTCTTTTTTTTTTTAAATCGAAATTTATTTTCAAAGAGAAATAGCGACATTTCTAACTTTGAGGATGAGGTATGGAAAGGTGAAACATGAAGAGTAATGGAGAACGGAAAAATAAAAAGTGTCCAGGGGCGGGAATCGAACCCACACCCTTCTGCTTACCGGGCAGGTGCCTTGTCCACTCGGCTACCCTGGACGTATTTTTCCGTTCATAACTTATATTTAAAGTAACATTTAAAATACAATATAACGCGGCTGATGATTGTAAAACGAAAATTAAAATTATACCGCGAATGTTTCTTTTTTTTTTTTTTTTAAATCGAAATTTATTTTCAAAGAGAAATAGCGACATTTCTAACTTTGAGGATGAGGTATGGAAAGGTGAAACATGAAGAGTAATGGAGAACGGAAAAATAAAAAGTGTCCAGGGGCGGGAATCGAACCCACACCCTTCTGCTTACCGGGCAGGTGCCTTGTCCACTCGGCTACCCTGGACGTATTTTTCCGTTCATAACTTATATTTAAAGTAACATTTAAAATACAATATAACGTGGCTGATGATTGTAAAACGAAAATTAAAATTATACCGCGAATGTTTCTTTTTTTTTTAAATCGAAATTTATTTTCAAAGAGAAATAGCGACATTTCTAACTTTGAGGATGAGGTATGGAAAGGTGAAACATGAAGAGTAATGGAGAATATATTAATTAATTAATAAATAATTCGATTTAAAAAAAAAAGAAACATTCGCGGTATAATTTTAATTTTCGTTTTACAATCATCAGCCGCGTTATATTGTATTTTAAATGTTACTTTAAATATAAGTTATGAACGGAAAAATACGTCCAGGGTAGCCGAGTGGACAAGGCACCTGCCCGGTAAGCAGAAGGTTGTGGGTTCGATTCCCGCCCCTGGACACTTTTTATTTTTCCGTTCTCCATTACTCTTCATGTTTCACCTTTCCATACCTCATCCTCAAAGTTAGAAATGTCGCTATTTCTCTTTGAAAATAAATTTCGATTTAAAAAAAAAAAAAGAAACATTCGCGGTATAATTTTAATTTTCGTTTTACAATCATCAGCCGCGTTATATTGTATTTTAAATGTTACTTTAAATATAAGTTATGAACGGAAAAATACGTCCAGGGTAGCCGAGTGGACAAGGCACCTGCCCGGTAAGCAGAAGGGTGTGGGTTCGATTCCCGCCCCTGGACACTTTTTATTTTTCCGTTCTCCATTACTCTTCATGTTTCACCTTTCCATACCTCATCCTCAAAGTTAGAAATGTCGCTATTTCTCTTTGAAAATAAATTTCGATAAAAAAAAAAAAAGAAACATTCGCGGTATAATTTTAATTTTCGTTTTACAATCATCAGCCGCGTTATATTGTATTTTAAATGTTACCTTCCAACATGAGCCCGACAGGCCCGGTAGCCGAGTGGACAAGGCACCTGCCCGGTAAGCGGAAGGGTGTGGGTTCGATTCCCGCCC